ATTCTGCTTGGATTGAAAACCTTTACCTCATGCAAAACCAAATTCTCTTAGTATAAATCTTTTCATGACCTCATTTTATATTATGAAAACAATTAAAATTGAACTTTTAAATAAAAGTGGTTTAGTGGTTTAGAATGGGGATATATTCAGAAAAAGAGAGCAATTCTGGGAAAAATATACTCTTACTCTCCTAGCCACATCTAAGAAATCCATACAATGCTACACCTAGAGGTCCCATGTTCCTTGTTGAATTAATTTCTTAGTACAGTTTCCTTTAAGAGTAAGTTTTAACTCTCTAGTTTCTCATAGTCTGCATCTTCCTATACACATTCTGACAAATATTAGGCAAACTAAGTTAGGCCTAGTACTATGAAGAATTTTATTATATTTAGCAGGCATGAAAGTTGAGAGCCTCGTAAATATTAATCAGAGACTAATGAACAGTAGGAGACTTCTGAATATCAATCTGTACTGGGAGGAAATTTTGAATTAGAGACTCCACTGCCTACCCAATAAATCAGTAGTGAAAAATTGAAGGCATTCTCATGCATTTGCTTATGTAGCTAGATCTTTAGTCCTAAAGGAGCATACGATAGGGATGACAAAATAGACATAATTTTATCACCCCACCCAGAGAGTCTACAGTTTTAACTACACCATTTTTAAAAAATGTAATCACTTCTGAAAGAGGCTGGATTGTATCACAGAAAACTTAAGTACATTCTTTAATATTAGAGTAAAGATAGTTCAGAAGTACTTAAAGAGAGACTCTGTCTCATTTTTCCTCATTAACATTCAATAATGATTGCCCAAAGGGACTAGAAGATTCAAGGTTAAGAGGAGAGCTGAAATGCCAAAGCCTGATTGGCTTATTGCTTCTATTAAATTCACCTATTGTTACTTTGCCTCTGAGCATATTTAAAATATATAGCAGGGAAAAAAGACAATATCTGCCATCAAAATTTATGATTTCATATCTAATGCCAGATATAATGGTGGAACGTGGTGGCTCCATGCAATGAGCACCTAACAGAGAAACACAAGGTCTGTGGTTCAAGCCTGCCAGCTGTTCCATGGGAGAAAGATGAGGCTTTCTGCTCTTGTAAAGATTTAAAGCCTGTGCTGTTGTTGTTGTTATGTGCCGTGGAGTCGGTTCTGACTCATAGTGACCCTGTATAGGGTTTCCAAGGCTGTAAATCTTTACAGGAGCAGAAAGCCTCATCTTTCCTCCACAGAACAGCTGGTAGTTTCGAACTGCTGACTGTGAGATTAGCAGCCCAATTCGTAACCACTAGGCTACCAGAGCTACTATACTAGGTCAGTATGTTTTGTAACTGACTTGATGGCACTTAAAAACACCAGACATAATGGTAGACATGTACATCGATACACCTGTATATCCTTAAGGATTTTTTATTAATAGAAGAGCACTCCTTTACAATGAATGGGGCATGGTGACTTCAGAGGAGAAACACTGGACTGCTAACCACAAGGTTGATGATTTGAGTACCACAGCCACTTCACAGGAGAAAGATGAGGCTTTTTGTTCCTGCAAAAACTAAAAAGACTTGGAAACCCTATACCGGTTGCTAGGAGTAGGAACTGACTTTATGGCACTTAACAACTATAGCTACTACAATCCCTTTACAAAAGATGGAGTTAATTATTAGGACATACCTGACAGGGGTATTTAAGATTTATTTGATACTTTAGATTCTGGTACACAGTAGCATGGGACATAGTTGAGAGTTTGAGTTTTTTAATTCTTTCATGATTGAATAAGGGGTCCTGGTGTTGTAGAGGATTATGACATTGGGTTGTTAATACAAGGATTGGTGGTTCCAATCTAGCAGGACATTACCACTACCATTACCACTATCACCAGTGTGCATCTGCTTTAGGCGTTGATAATTTAATGGGAATACTTAGAAGTGCTTTCTAAGAATATGGATGTTTCTTCCTACTGTTGTAATCGGGACTACATTTTTTATCGTGGTGGGGATTTTCTCTACTATAGTACTAGTCACTAACATTTAGTAATTGTTCAGTAACTAACTTTGAAACTACTGTAGGATTACTGGACTGCTAACCATAAGGTAAGTGGCTCAAGCCCACCAATCGCTCTTGATAAACCCTGTACAGTCAGTGCCATTATGAGTGGAAACTGACTCATCAACACTTAACAGCAACACATATAATATGAGCATGTCTAGTGGAAGGAAATAAACAACAGTACTAAGACATAAGGAATAAAAGTAAGTCAGAGAGAGTGGATGTCATTTGGAGATACATCAGAAATATTATTTCAAGCATATCTATGGGAAAAGTTATAGTTAGTATATTAGGGAAGAGTACAGCAAAATTCAGATGTTATTATACAGCACACATTTAGGATAATTAAGCATTCATCACAAGCATTATTTCAATATATTTTCACTCTAGATTTCTACATTATTTAATGAAAGAGGTTGTTATTTTCTCTACTATAGTACTAGTCACTAACATTTAGATGTTGTTGTTGGTAAGTGCCGTTGAGTCGGTTCCGACCCATAGCGACCCTGAACAGGGTATCCGAGGCTGTAAATCTTTATGGGAGCAGAACGCCTCCACATTAACTAACTCTGAAAGATTTAAAAATGAAACACAAGCATAGCAACACTCCTAAGAATGGTGCAGAACTGGATAATAATTAGTTCTGTTGTACACAGGTCACTATGAGTTAAAACTAACTCAGTGGCACTTAAAAATAACACCTATAAACTTAAGTTACTCTTTCACATGAAATAATTTGTATTCTGCAGTAACAACAAACAAGATCTTCACAAATGTTCAATACAGCTAAAATTCTAATGTAATTTCTTAGAAATATGTAATGCAATAAAATGGAAGTAGTGGCAATTCTTTCTACATATAAATCACTCATGAATTATGTCTGACAGTATATGTCTTAGAGGAATTTATATTTATCTATTTTAATAAAATATCTGTACTGACACACAGCCTGTCTTTCACAATTATCAATTATTACCCAAAAATGATTTTTAGAGCATTTCTTTAGTTCTCTATTGTTAGAGCTATGAGATGATGCACTGGACCTCAATGTTGGTTTAAATCGCAAAGTCTGTGGTACAAATTCAACAACTGTTCCTCGGAAACCCTATTCAGGGTCGCTATGACTTGGACCTACTCAAAGGCATATGAGTTGTTATTTATCTTTGAGTCTGACATACACATACGTTTGATGTTTTAAAGAGATCTTACACAGAATGCATCATATTTTTAAAATTATGTACAGAAATATTCACTTACTTAGAGAAATAGCTTTTTGTCTAAGAACTAGTATCTTGGAAATGAAACTCACTACTGATATTAAAACACTTGGAATCTTTAAAGTTCTTGTTTCTTTGTTTTGCTTTATTTGAATAAACTTAGGTAATTCCATTTATTCACAGTAAATGGAATGAGATATTGTTGAACCTTATTTTTTTGAAGTTTTTAGAAATATTAAGAGGTATTTTAAACAATATTAATAACACTGTTGTTGTTAAGGGCTGTGAGTACTAGTACAGCCAACCCTGCTGTTCAAATGGACCTTGCTGACCTGTGTATTAGCCTGGATCACCACAACAGGACTCTATTACTAACATAAACCTAACCAAAAGTCTTTCCCAGATATACTAATCAATATCCAATTCTGATTTAATTTTGTTCAGAAGATCGTCTCCTATTTCCTCTTATTTGACTTATTTTTTGCTATGAAGTCACTGATACTATGGGTCAAGGCTTTAAAATGTATTTATAGTTTCTCCAGGGGCTTCTGGTAGTTTGTGGTAGTACTAAAGCTACTTCTTTTGGAAACCCTGTACAGGGTTACTATGAGTCGACATTGACTCCTAGGCACTTAACAACAGTAACAATGTGAAGGACATATGCTCTGAAAAGTACTGTCCTACAGCAATAACAATAGATTTTTTTTTTTAAGTTAGAGAAGGAGAGACCACCACCAACAAAAACAACAAACAATGAAAAAAATGCATTAAGTTTTCAAAGTTTTAATTTGATTTTCATAGAAAAATAATATAAATCATCATTCTTCACTGATCAGTATAAGATATTCAATGCAATGCTGGTATATGGTTAAAAATAGTAATAATAATATAAGCATAGATATTTCCAAATGTAGCTTACACTTAAAATGTATTATGAAATTGAAATTAAAATCATAAAAATATTTACTCAAAGTGATCTTAAAAATGTAATATATATGATGATGCTTCAAAAAGTTTGTGGAAAAAGGTAGTTAAAAGATAATGGAAAGGTAAAGAAAAGATTATGCAATTTCCCCCCAAATTTTTAGTTATGACTCATAACAACTCTATAAAATGTTTTGGAGGAGCAGCTGATGGGTTTGAACTACCAACTTTAAAGTTCAATTACCTGGACTATGAATTATTTAAAATACACCAACTAGAAAACAACAACAACCAGAGCAACTCTGCATCTTTATGGCAGCCCATTGAAAACATTTGGAGAATTATCTGAATAGTAATGTGTGCCAGATTAATTTGATAGTTGTAAAACCATATAAAAAGTAAACAAAATGAGTGCAGCAGATAGATATTTAAGCCTTTTATCCTTGTGGGTTCAGTAGCAATTAACTAAGCTTTTTCAATATCAGAAGGTTTAGAGATATATAAAATGATGTTTACTTTTTTTCTCTTCTGCGTTAAAAGCAAAATTTGTTGTTCCAATTAACTAGATATATTGCTTTTAATTATTCTGCTTTCTACAGCATGAGTTACAATTGTTTGGTAGTAATGAAAGAATGACCTAGATAAAAGAGGAGGGCAGTACAATTTAAAGGTTAAGCTTAATACGCTTGTGGCACAGACTGACAATTATTCTCTGGCCATTGATGACCCTCTCCACCTGTCCACATGCATTTTCTTATGACAAGCATGCTTTAGTTTCCTGTCTAACTTTGGTTTTCATCTTTGCAGGTTTGGATTTATTCTTCATAAGGATGAAGCTGCACTACAAAAAATTGATCTTGAAACCATGTCCTACATCAAAACAGTTAACTTAAAGGACTATATGTGCATTCCTCAATCATTGGCCTATACACACTTGGGAGGATACTACTTTATTGGCTGCAAACCTGACAGCACTGGAGCAATTCCACCACAGCTCATGGTGGACGGTGTTACTGACTCAGTCATTGGATTCAACAGTGATGTAACAGGCACTCCATATGTCTCCCCAGATGGGCACTACCTTGTCAGCATTAATGACATAAAAGGTCTTGTGAGGGTCCAGTACATCACCATCAGAGGAGAAATACAAGAGGCATTTGATATTCATACAAATCTACACATATCTGATGTAGCATTTCAGCCATCCTTTACTGAAGCCAACCAGTACAACATTTATGGTAGCTCTAGTACACAAACTGATGTGCTTTTTGTGGAGCTTGCCTCTGGAAAGGTTAAGATGATAAAGAGCCTTAAGGAACCACTCAAGGCAGAAGAATGGCCTTGGAACCGGAAGAACAGACAAATCCAGGACAGTGGTTTGTTTGGTCAGTACCTGATGACACCTTCTAAGGATTCTCTCTTTATCCTAGATGGACGACTCAATAAGTTAAACTGTGAGATCACTGAAGTTGAGAAAGGAAATACAGTCATTTGGGTTGGAGATGCCTAGGGCTTTATTAGATAATCATTGGATATGAGTTTTACAGTACATTGCATTTAATCCATTGTTTAAATTATAGCTAGACTTTTAAAGTTTATAACCTAGTTAAACAGAAATTATTTGGTTGGCCCAAATAAAGTAATTTTTTTTTCTTTCAAAAACATACACTATAAGTACTACTGATTTACTAGAAATATTTAATACACTATTTAATAATATACTACATCAGTCACAATAATCAAAGCTATAATTGTGTTTAACTCAAGACAATAGGATTTTAAATACTTAAAAAAAATAATAAACTGCAGGGAATTTCAGATGAATAAGAAACACTTCATTTTAAGGGTAGCTTACCTTTTCTTCTTCTTCTGGTATGCATAAACTAGAAATAAAGGTATCGTGGAATCCTAAAATTCTTAATTCAAATATTATATCCTGTCCACTGTTTCTAATCTTTTGTGCCTTGAAGTGAATGTTACATGAAGAAAATGAAGGCTAAAAGCTCATCCAAAATGCCCTCACAACTATAAATTGCTTATTATTAAAAGAGGAAAGGTTGACATCTCTTGAGTTAAATGCTGCCTTCAGTTATTTGTTTAACCCTCTTTGAAATGCCATTTGAAGACATCAGCTGGCCTTTGGTTGTATATAGGTGACAAACTCTATTTGACATTTTCTGTATAATCTACAACAAATGGGGAGGAAGGAAGGACAAACAATTATGGTAAAAATGTTTGCAATATTTTCTCTACTCAGTTTGCTTTCAACCCTGGAACGTGTTATGTTTTTAATTCAGGTTTGTCTGGGATGTCAACTGCTTACAAATGTTTACTTTATTATTAGTAAAATAGATCCTTTCTTTTTGCATTGCTCAGTATGACATCAGCAGAAATTTTCAGTTCCCAAAAGAAATGAAATGTCACTTGTGTCTGCATAGATATATCACATATAGGGAAGAAAAAACCATGAGAGAACTGATGAGGATAATTAGTAATAAATGTTGGGATGATGGGGTTAACCCCCCAGTGGTGAGTAAAGATGTATTTCTCCACTGCCTTAGCATATGACCTATCAAGAAGCTTTACTTCTTAGTACCTTTCTTAAATGACTTCTTCTATTCTACTACTACATAATCCTTAAATGAACTTCTCACTAACTGTGCTGTAGTTTGAAACCTAACTAATCCTCTTATTTGAGAAATTGCATAGAAGTAAAATTTACTGCTTTATTTTATGGGAAAAAGAAAAATAAGACAGTACAAGTAGGTTAAAACTAGGGTAGGGAATTGGTTTATGGAAATAAGCAGATAATTATGCAAGCTTAAAGTAATAGCTTACATGGTTTGAGACTCTTTAATTTTTTTTTTTTTTTTTTTTTAATCTTTACGTTGCTAAAAAATGCTAATAGACTGTTGAAATGACCTCCATTTACTGAAGGCAATCCACTAAGGTCTTTTTTAAATACAAATTTTACTCAAGTTTAAATTGTGTAAAACTGCTTAGAAACCTGAAATTTTATAGTGTGTAATATCTTATGTGTATATAGAATCTTGAGCTGTGTGATACAGTAGATTTCTTCTTAGCTTGAGGAAACATGATGGGAGATAAATTTAATAAACAACAAAAATCAGTTTATGTTTCTAGTTACCAAATCTGCTTTCCTTTTTAGCAATTTTCTCCCTTGTGAACATGAATCATTATAGAGTGTCTGTGAGTTGATAATTTAATATACATCTGTCTCATTCTTCTTTGGTAGCTTACACCATGTGGATATGTTCTGTCTGTAGAAATTGCTTGAAAAAAGGAGAATAAACCGCTTACATTTTAACCCTTGAGAATTCAGACAATGTTTTCCTGTGCATTCCAATGTATATTTTTCTTTTGTTCCTCAGAGACTGGTATATTGGGTGTTATGTATTAATTTGAATGTGATGGGAGAGGGTGGAGGTAGAGGACAAGTAAGAGAATACCAATTAAAAAAATTATTGGTTTGTATCTGAACCAAATCTAAGTCTTTATGATGTTGTTGTCCACCATCTAGTCAGTTTTGACACATAGCAAATCTGTATAGGGTTTCAGAGGAGCAGGTGGGGTTGTGAACTGTAAACTTGTGGTTAGCAGTCCAGTGTTTATTATATAGTGCCATACGAGGACTCCATATTTTTATAACCATTCATTATTCAATATTTAAAAGAAGAACTTGAAGTATTATTTAAAAGAATGAAATATCAAATGCACTGAAGGAAAAGTTGTTTGCTTTACAAATGCATATGCCCTCTTTTATTTTTTTTTAATTGTGGTGAAAACTTATACAACAAAACATTTTTCAATTCATTATCCAATTTAACAATTTCTACATGAATGTTTCAGTGACACTGATTAAAACATTCAAATGTGCAACCATTATCACCATAAACATAAACTCAATGCTCCTAAGCAACAATTTTCCCTTTCCCTACCATTTCCGCATACCTTTATATCATATAGTTTGCTTAGCATCTTTTTAAGCGTCATCCATGTTGTGACATGCATCAAGACTTCATTTCCATTTTTGGCTGAATAGAATTCTATTGCATATACCACATTTTGTTTATCCACTCCTCTGTTGATGGACATTTTAGTTGCTTCTACATTTAGGTTACTGTGAAAAGTGCTACAAAGACTATTGGGTTACAGTTTTCTGCTTGTATTCCTGCTTTCACTTCTTCTAGGTGTATAAGGGTAAGTCAAAAAGCATTGCACAGTATCATAGAAACCTTTATAAACAAAAATATCAAAATGTCTATACATTTTAGATAGAAGTCTTTTCCTCTCCCCAACAATTTCCTGAAGGATTCTGTGTTCTTTGATTTGCATCATGTAAAAAGGACAGTTTTGGTATCCTCAAGGGACTAAAATTGTGTTTATTTTTAAAAAAATCTGAAGTTAAGATCAGGATTTTAGGGTTAATGTAACAATAGTTCCCAAAGAAACTCACATAGGACAGACTATACTGTTCTCAAAGAGTGAGAATGTACATTGCGGTGATGGGCAAAAAAAGAAATTTCTCAGTGCAACTTTCCTGGCTTTTTTTTCACAAATGCAATTTTCAACTCTCTTAAACTTTCGTGATGATAAGTCCCTTTGATCATCTTGTGTACTTCAAGATAAAGATAACCCCTTTCAAATCCCACAAAAGTTTCTATAACTCTCTGAGCTGACCTTTCTGCCTTAAAATCAACTGCTTCAATAGATGTCCTGAGTAACCAGTTATTTGATTAGAACTTTGGTTGTTGTTGTTGAAGTTACATGTCATAGACTGAAGTATGTCCCCCAAAATGTGTACCAACTTGGCTGGGCCATGACTCTCAATGGTTATCAGTTACATAATGATGTAATATGGCAGTTATGACACTGCATTATGGGATAAACCCACAAAAGTATTAAGGGTGGGAATCAACACCCTTAATCCATTTATATCCCTAATTCAGTATAGTAGACATTTCCCTGGGATATGGCCTGAAATCCCTATATTCTTAAAAAAATTAAAGGGGAGAAAAGTGAGCAGAAATCAGAGGGACATACTGCCACCAAGAAAGAAGAACCAGAAGCGGAGTACATCCTTTTAACCTGTGAGTCCCTACACTCTGAAGTTCCTAGATCCAGGAAATGATTTATGCCAAGATACATGGAGATCTCCAAGGAATGCTGGCCCTACATAGGCTGAAAGAAGAAAAGGATCTTTCTCCCGAGCCAACAGAGAGAAGAAGACTTACTTCCCTTAGACCTTGTGTTGTTAAGTGCTATCTAGTCAGTTCCATACAAATTGAAATCTCTCAAAAAAGTGAGGCAACACAGGAGGCACTCACTTATCTCTGCCAAGAAATTTGGAAGACAACTATCTGGCCAACTAATTGGAAGAGATCTGTATTTGTACCCATTCCAAAGAGAGGTGACCCAATGGAATGTGGAAATCATTGGACAATATCTTTGATCCCATGCAAGTAAGTTTTATTAAAGGTAATACAGAAATGGTTGTAACCACACATTGACAGAGAACTTCAGAGTTTCAAGCAGGATTCAGAAGAGGACATGGGACTAGGGACATCATTATTGATGTCAGATAGATCTTGGCTGAAAGCAGAGAATACCAGAAAGATGTTTACCTGTGCTTTATAGACTATGCAAAGCTTTGCATTGTGTACATGGACCAAGAGGCAGTTGTTCGAAAAGAACATGGGAACACTGAATGGTTTAAAATTAAGAAAGGTGTGCGACAGGGTTGTATTCTTTCAGCATACGTATTTAGTCTGTATGCTGAGCAAATAATCTGAGAAACTGGGTTATATGAAGAAAAATGTAGCATCATGATTGGAGGAAGATTGCAGATGATACAACTTTGCTTGCTGAAAGTGAAGAGGATTTAAAATACTTACTGATGAAGATCAAACAGCATAGTCTTTGGTGTGGATTTGCATCTCAGTGTAAAGAAAAAAAAAAAAAAAAATCCTCACCAATGAACCAAAACCAACATTCTTACCAATGGAGAAAATATTGAAGTTGTCAAAGACTTCATTTTTCTCAGATCAACCATCAATACTCACGGAAGCAGCAGTCAAGAAATCAAAGGACGTATTGCATTAGGCAAATCTGCTACACAAGACCTTTGTAGTGTTGAAGAGCAAAGATGTCAGTTTAAGGACTAAGGTGCACCATAGTCAAGTCATGGTATTTTCAATAATCTCATATGCATGCAAAAGCTGGACAGTGAATAAGGAAGATTGTAGAATTGATGCTTTTGAGTTATGGTGTTGGAGGAGGATATTGAAAGTACCATGGGATGTCAAAAAACAAATAGATATGTGTTGCAAGAAGTACAGCCAAAGTGCTCCTTGGAGGCCAGGATGGCCAAACTTCGTCTCTCATAATTTGGACATATTGTCAGGAGGTACCAGTCATTGGAGAAGGATATCATGTTTGGTAAGGTGGAGGATCAGTGAAAAACAGGAATGCCCTGAGCGAGATGGATTG